AAAGAAAACCTTTTTAGTTTTCCTACTTAAAAAACACAATTCTAGTATACTCTTACTACTGAAATATATTACTATACTACCAATCATCTAGTCATAACTCTTATGCCTATTATACTATTAATATATCTAAAAAACTTACAAAAATCTAAACTTTGGTTATTTTCATATCACAACAAAAAAATTATTATTAAAAAAATACAAAAATACTTTCTCTTATCTAACTATTATTTTATTACTTACTGGACTTCAATATAGACTTAAATTACTCAAAATTCTATTCTTTACCTTCTACTAAATACAAACAATATACAGAATGCCATTTTAATTCTTACAGAATTAACTAAACTTTTACTATCAAAGTCTCTACAGTTATTTCAATACAATTTTTTGGCAAAACCAATTCTAAATGCCAACTCAACCTTAATGCAAACTACTTGAACCTTATCTGTTCTACAGCTGTCAAGCATCCAATCTATATTCCTTCTCTACTTATAATTCCTATTACTAATTCAATTATCTTTGAAATCTTTATTTCAAGTAAAACTACTAACAAACTTATATCTATTTCTCAACTTAACCACTTTTACTAACAACTATTCTTTTATATGAATGACTCAGTAATCAACATTGGTACTAATCAATACATAATAGGTATTGGTTAGATCTAAGTTAATAATAATAATCAACTATTAACTTCTTTTTTGCTAAAATACAATTTTGACTCTCATCATATAAAGCTAAGCTCTTCTTAATTATTATTGCAATTTTAACAGTATCATATAACTCAATAGTCAATATTTTTACTAATTCTCAATTAGTAATTTCCAAATTTAATAACTTCCAACTTTACTTAAATCATTCTAATAAGTTATTTAAATTCAACTCATGGCCTATCTGGTATACTCTTTCTAATATTATTAAATCACATAAATTACAAATTATCTTTAACAAAATACAAACTTATTTAAATAATAATCTTAATAAGCAAACAGGCTCTCTTGCCAAACAACATTTATTATTACTACTTTTTTCATTTAATTATACAAATCTTTATAACCTTTACTATATTCTTTAATAAGAGCAATATTACATAGAACTTTTTACAAGATATTTCATTAAGCAAATATGTAAATTCCATATATTAGCTATATAGGCATTACAAAAACATAATAGTGAGTAGTCATACTTCAATCAGGATATTAACTGGAGATCCACTTAACTTTATTTTAATCACAATTAAAAACCTTTATATGATATTACTAATTTTAGACTTAGTTAACTAAAATTCTTTAAAATCAAAATCCTTCTTAATAGATTACTAACATACTAATTATTTTATACTATTTACTCAAACCAATATCCAGATACTAATTGCTTTCACTGTAATCTAGCTAATTCTTATCTCTCTGGTATACTTATACAAATATACTTTTGTTTAACCAAATTATTCAAACATTTACTAATCAAATTATTTTTAGCAAATTATCTGATCTTAATACTTATCAAAAAAATGATCTAATTTATAAAGTTCTTCATTACTCAGCTCTCAATCCTTTATACATCTTACTTAACACATTTTATCTTATTCTTATTCTTAAAGAACTTATTTCAAAGTTACTCATATCAATAGTTTAAAACTCTGACATATCATATAAAACAACCTCTCAAGTTATTATTAATCTTTTTCTTAATATTAATAAATAATCATATAAACAACTATAAAAAACATATTGTATTTATTTTTCTAACTGAAAAAAACAACAAAATAGATCTCAATCTTAACCAATTAATAAATCTTCAATATCATTTAACTCAGCAACTAGGTATATATATTTTTATAGAAACTATACTTATTTATGCCTTTGTGGACTTTTAGATTAACTATATACTTCTTCTAATATATGCTCTTCTATTAACCAAGCAATTTGAAAAATTAATCTTTAGTTTATTCTATAGTTCAAATATAGCATATCATTAAATTATATACTAAACATTCAAATCTAGATAAGCTTTGACCACTCTAGTAGGTTTAGGTCACAGATAAATTAGTTTAAGCTTTTATTCTTGCATGTAATTTTTTAATTTATTTGTTTTGTACAAATAGTAGTAGCTGTATAATTAGCAATTTAATAATTAGCCCTAATTGTAAGTGTTAGCTTTGGTCATAGTATATATACATGTAACTATTTTAAATTATTAATAAAGATATAAGCAAGGCCTTACTATAATATTAAAAAAAAAAAAACAAATATATAATCAATTACTATTAAGTTTTAGCAAAATAAAAAAAAAGATATTATCAGTTTTATGTATTAAAAACCTATTTTTTGCTGTTTTTAAAGATTATATTTGTCAATTTTCAAATAATCTACAAATGTATAAATGCACATTTTATAAAAAGTTGCATATTTAACTTTAATACAAATTTTGAATAATTTTAAATAATGTCAAAAAAATTATAATCAAAATTAATAAATATATATCATTTTAGAACAATTATTAAATTATATATTTTATTCTAATATTAGTAATAATTAAAATAATGATATTGATTATTGTGATATTTGACAAAAGTATTAATAAAGTTAAAAGAACAAAAAAGTCATCTTAATACTAAAAAAAACTAATGATATTAAATTTTTGGAGCAATTAAATTATAAAAAAAAAATCTAAATTTTTTTATAGTAGAATAGAAAAAATAAATTATTAAAAAATAGATAAATATACTTGTATAACAGAATTTGTATACTTATTTTATAAAATATACTGATAATTATCAATAAAGTCAATATTATTATAAGATTAGTAATGTATTTTATAGTTTATTTGAATATATAATATAATTTATATAATTAATTTAAGTTAATTATAGCAAAATAACAAAAAATAACTTTTTTAAAAAACAAAAAAAAAATAACAAAAAATAACTTTTTTTTAAAAAAAAAACAAAAAAAACAAAAAATAACTGTTTATAATTATAGTCTGCAACAAAATATTACTTTTTTTATTATTATAATCTTATTAATAGTTTTATAAAATTTTGTAACATTGTAATAGTATAAGAATCTTGCAAATTAGAATTGTGAATTATGAATAATAATTATATAATTATTTTAATAACTTAAAAACTACAACATTTAGTTAAAAATTAAAAGCTTTACAGCTGTATTAACAATAAAAAATCATAAAAAATATATAATTAATAAAACTAAAAATAGTGTAATAATATGATTAAAAAAAAGTTTTTTTAATATACTAATCTGATTTATATATATATAAATAATCCGACTTATTGCATAATTATCTTTATTACTATTTGAGCTGTAATAATAAGAGCTTTAGAATTTAAAAATCAGACATCTGATTTTAAATAAAATAAATAACATTTTTATTTTAATATAAGCAATTTATAAGTCATATTTTTTCTAAATTATATACTTATTTATATCATTATTTACTAATAAATATTTATTATCCAACACTAATGCTGATAGGTACCAATATATAAAAAACTGTATATACTAAATTGGTAACAAAAAGAACAAAAAACTGCCAAAGATGTAAAGATAACTCTATTAAGACCTTGGTCATAAGTTTTTATATCCTATAATACTAAATAAAAACCTCAATTTCAAAAGAAACTAATTTAATATAAAATAAAAATAAGCAAAATTGGTTTTCAACTTTAAAATAAGAATATGTTCTTAATGTTTGTTTCATATATATTTTTTATATACAAGTTTTGTAATTATATAAAATTTAACATTTAATGTTTGAACAATTGATAATTGAACAAGAACCAAAATTTTTGAATGACATTTTACACAATATTTTTTCTAATAAAAAATAATTAATTATTACAAACAATAATGATAAATATTTTCTCTAATTATATACATATAAAACTTAACCCTTATTCAAAAAAAACCCTGATCCAGAACAACTTGACTCAGAGAAACCTAACCCTGAAACACTTGACCAAGACAAAAGAACTTGCCCAGCAAAACTTTGTTTCTGGCAACACCTAACCATGACCCAGCAAAACTTAACTCGGTGAAACTTGATCCGGCGAAACTTAACTTGATGAAACTTAACTCGCAAAACTTAACCTGACGAAACTTAGCCACAGGAAGCTTGACTATAGAGAAACTTAACTAGAGAAACTTTAGTACGACAAAATCCAGCTACAACAAACGCTCAATAAGCTCTAAACTTAGCTATAACGAACTCGACAAAACTTTTTCTTATTCGTAACAATTCTTAAACCACGAAATTTTAATCGACAAGTATAAAATTTTTATTGGCCAATCATAATCTAGCAATTGCGATTTGCCAATAACATAGAACTTCTGTCATGCTCGTTTTTTCAAAATTGGTTATTTCTCAAAAATTTGCATAAGAAACCACCTTTTATGCTCTACCAAAAAAATTCCCTTGAGCAATTTAACTATAAACTCCACTAACGCCTAGCCTTAATAAAAACACTAACCCTAACTTAAAGATTTTTGATGCGTCATAAACATTATCACGTAACAGTAACTTTTTTTACTTAACTGATAACCTTTTTTACGGAAGATTATCCATTTACGGATGATCTTCGATCATTCATGTAAATGGCCGTAATAGGTAGTAATTTATATGTGTCACGTGAGGTTTACTTTACAAATTTATTAGTAATCAATTTATCAATTTAGCTTTCGTAATAGGAAATTATCAGATAATACGTACATATCCTGATATGTAGATAATAGATATTAATAATAACGGATTATCAACACTTAAAGTATTTTTTTGAATTTCTAAGATGAGGTAAATTTAGAGAACTGCTATCGGAGGGTTTTTTTTTCAACTTTTAAACTATATAGGTGGTCGAAATCATTTGGCTCGTGTCGAAACTCTTACGGCTTACGTCGTAACTAGTTTCGAATAATCCGTGAGCTTAGACTTAGAAATCACTTTTAAATGCATTAAACTGACGTTGAATAACAATTCGCATTTAGCCAACTTCCTCCAAACACTTCCGGTGAGTCAGCTCCCAACTTGGCGGAACCAAAAGATACACCTTTTACTCCGGCTGAACTTGCAGAGGTTTAACCAGAGTTTATTCATGTGTTATTACGTATGAGAACGTCTTAATCATATTATTGTCACTTGAAAATAGTACGATGGTTCCGATCCAAGTCGTCCGATATACGTTGCTGTTAAGGGCACAGTATTTGACGTAACAGGAAAACGTGCTCTTTATGGAGTGGGTGGTACCTATCATTCATTTGCTGGTAAAGACGCCTCAAAGGTAAATTTAGTTAAAGATGCTTTGATTTCGTAATATGATCAAACCTAATTTATGTAAATAGGGTCTCGCTACTGGTTCAATGACTGATGTAGCTGGCGACTGTAATTCTTTAAGTGAATCTCAGGTAAGATTTATAAAGTCATGCATTGTTATCTATATTTTGATTTCTAAATTCATATAACTTCAATCCTAACATCATACACATAGCTTAAAACCCTTGATGATTGGTACAAATATTATGAATTAAGATACAATATTGTAGGGAAAGTTACTTCTTAATAGAGCTTAGAACCGGGTTATAGTAAACCGGGTCACCCGTGTCAAAACGGTTCAACCGGGTCAAAAATTTACAACTCGGTTGAATATGTAACCTCTAAAAATTTTTACACAGAAACATAAAATTTAACACATTATTGTATTGTGAAAATAAACACATTTTTTTCTTACTAGTTTATCTAAATGTTTAGAAAAAAGTTTCAAATTTTCGGATCATACGACTATCTATTGTGAAAATTTTGCTAAAAATTTTCCTTTTAATGAGCCTTCATTGGTATTTTCTTTGCTTTGCTAATATGTAATACACTGTGTGTGTTCGATAAGTTCGTGAGTACCCAAGTAATTCATAGCCGGGGTGCGAGTTATGTAACGTGATTGCGTTCATGAATTGCGTAATACCTTCCATTAATTATTGCGAATAATAGTAAATTATTCTTTAGATTACTATGACTGGATTGCTAAATAATAAACAGAAAGTTAATTTGATTGTTTGGTAGAAAATGATAGTTTATTTTAGTTATTTGGTAGAAATTGATAGTTTATTTTAGTTATTTGGAAGAAATTGATAGTTTATTTTAGTTATTTTACAAAAACATTTAAATTATAAAATTTTATTAGTTTATTGATATATTTTTAAATTTTTTTTTAGTAAGCTTAAGTATTTATACTAATGTTTTAAAATTTGTTAATAAATTAAAATGGTGATAATTTAAAAAAATATATATATAATTCTTTTTTATGAATCTTTTAATCAGAAATTATAGGAAATAAAAACAGAAAAATGTAAAAGTATATAAATAAATAATATTTAAAGTATAGGCTGTATCATTACTTCTGATACATCATATTTTATAAAATAAATTAAAAAGCTTATTAATAATATTAAATCTAATGATTGTTATTTTAAATTATACTTTTA